GAATGTCACATTGATGCCAGCTGAATTAAGTGATGCCATTTGGCCTTATCTACGGAGCTATGATGTAGCTACTACCCAGCTCCACAGTTGTGCCCACTTTTTTTATGGTCTCTGATTTGGTATCCGCTTAAGGCTGGGGCAGACGGAAGGTAGGGTGCAGATTTACCTGCTTTCTTGGAGACGGTTTGACATTTCCTTCTTTTTTTTCAGGGTATTGGTAGATACATATTCTCCCCAGTCTCTGGTTTGCTAAAAAGCAGGAACTCTGGGGAACTCAGTGTTTTTACCTGCCTGCTTTGAATAACAGCAATCCAAGTGGGGAAAAAATTGCCTGGAAAGTTATGAATTAGGCATACAGCCACACAGGGCATGGTTGTACGAGCATGCCTAGCAGCTGTGTGTTCAGTGCTCTGTCTCTGGTGGAGCTATGTGGTGGAGTGGCAGATGGGTGCAGCTCGTGCACCCCAGATTCTACAAACCAAGGCTGAATGGTCAAGATGACCCTAACAGAGTTTGTGTCTTCTGGTGAAGCCGTGAGTCTTCAGCACCTCTGGTATCAGGCCACCCGCTTAAGATGTCGAGTCTGAATCATTTGAAGTCCGAAAACTCTGGCTTAAGCTCTTAAGATCCTTAATCTGCACTTCTTGAGGTGGATGCCTGCTTCCAGCTCTGGGTTTGGTCTGGTGGAAGAAGTCACTGCTTCGGACTGGTTGTCCTGCTGCCGTGTCTCCTGCTCTGCATGCCTTCTGCTGGAGCACTTTGTGCAAGTCACCATCTGCTTGCCTCTCGATAAAATCTTGTCTTAGACCAACAACTTGAGCTGACCCAGCTACTCCAGCTGCGGCAGCAGTTCCACATCACTCTTAAACCACATCCACCACTGAGATGTCATCTCCAGGTGCTTCTTTTCTCCTCCTTTCTGCATGCTTCTGCCCCGTTAGTGACCCAAAGTTTGGGCTCCTTTATCTGTTTTCCTTTCAAGCCTGTCCTTACAGATTGATGCATTAATAGTAAGTTCTGGATGGGGGAACTAGGGGGGCAGCAGCAAGCATGGGGATAGGGGAAAAGACTAGCAATCTAGGGTGCTCAAGAGAGGATCTGCTCTGAGGTAAGGGTAAAGTGTTAGTAAGCCCTGGTTCGATGCAATGCAGGTATGGCTGAATCAGCAGGACCACAGGGCAGTGGGGTGGTGCCTGAGCTGGGGCAATGGCCTCTTGCTCAGCTCAGCCTGGCTAGACCCATGGCTAGACCCAAGTTCTTAATTTTACATTTTCTTTCCTTTATATTTTGACTCTCTGAAACCCCCAAATGGAGGGTATGAAAAAGATGAGGAAAAAATGGAAAGTGAAGTCTAAATGATGTCTTCCAGGATTTGTTTTTATTCTCAGAACTTGGGTGGTGAAAAAGCAGCCCATGTCAGTGTTCTTAAAGATAAATAGGGGGCTGAAGAGTAAGGGGTAGGAGAGGGAGATAGGTATGCTTTCTTTTTGACTGCTAAAATCTGTCAAGCAAGGGAAAAGATAAATAAATAAACCCCACTATGTTTTCCCAATAAACTTTCATAAAGCAAGGAAAGCTCATGCCTTTATAGAAGGGGGGGGAAGTCCACTTAACACGGTGAGTTAGACTAGAAGGGAAGATGATGTATGTGTCAGATGTTTGGGGATGGGTGAGGCAGTGGGAACGTAGGTGTATGCAGCAAGAAATAATTCTCTTAAGTTTCTTGTATACCGTTGGTTATAGCCAAGAACCTTGAGTTTATGCTACAAGCTTCGTATGTGGGCTATACCTGTGGTACAGGGCAGGCATAATGCATAATTACCTAAAGAAATTAGAGCAATAGAGGTGTAACAAGGCTGAATCAGCTAAGGTCGCAGGAGCCTTTGAAGGGAACTTGGTTTTGGAGGTCCTTGGGTGGCCTAGGGGTAGATGGACACTGAACTGTGTGCAAGTGTGTGAGCATAGCGTAATGTGGATGCAGAGACCAAGCTTTGACATCATGTCAGTGAGAAGAGTCACTGCATTTCTA